AGATAAGATAGGATGAGAACACTAAATTGCTGCTGCTAAGAACACTAAATTACTGCTGCTGCTTCCGGTGCCCACATCAAACTCAACTGAAATCAACAAAACCTCATCTGAATTATATGGGGTTGGCATGGCCAAATAAATCCTGCTTCACCATTCCACTCCATCTATAAAATTTAAGTGCAACTTGGGATCCATTTGGGAAGAGTGTAAGTACAAATGTGTTCAGTTCAAATACAAATGCAGCCTGTGTATGACACGTACATATTTGTATTTGCACATTCTACTCTCTCAAAGAACCATTCAACCTAAAATCTTAAGCTATTAGGTGAGGTCCTTGAATAGGTTGATATTCTCTAACACGCCCCTTCACACGAAAGCTCATTGGGCTTGAAGTGTGAACAAGTACAGGCTCGCCCATACCTTGTACTAAAACTTAATTAATTATAATGGGGGTAATGAGGATCGAACACTAGACCACTTGGTCAAAGTTGTTCTGATACCATCTCAAAGAACCATTCAATCTAAAAGCTTAAGCTATTAGGTGAGGTCCTTGAATAGGTTGATATTCTCTAACACACTCATCTGAAACGGAGCCTCAGTTGTTGCTCACATGGCTTCTATGGTCAACTTATACTGGCACCCTTCCAAACCAACCTCAATTCAGGCTTGATAGTGTCTAAAAAACAAGTTATGAGATAGATATTGGCCATTCATCACAAATGGGATCTCGTGGTTCACATAAACAGAACCAAACATTATTCCTCATGCATACACCTAAGGGCAATAAAAGACTGTGTTTGGTTCGAAAGAAAAGATAGAGAAAAGAAGTGAAACCCATATAAACCTTGTACAGATTTCCCTACCTCTTCTTTCAAACCAAACACAGCCTAAGGTTATTCTTTTTCTTCAGTTCTTCTTCTCTTTTTTTTTTTTTCTTTTTTTTTCCCTTTCTAACAACTCGGCAATTTCATACATCAATGAATCATTAAACAATCCAAATGATTACTACATAAAATTGATATAAATATGTTACAAATCAACAAAAATGCTACAAGATAAAATGTAAAACAATATAGGATGATTCAGATATTTGTGACTATAACAGACTACAGTAAACCACGACAGAGAATAAAAAAAGGATACACCAAATAAAATCCATGAAGAAAACCGCCTGCCAAGACAACGGTGAACAATCGATCCCTCAAAACTGGATTCCTCCGAAGCCCGAGTCTTACTGATAATATAAATGCACCAAAGTAATCCGAAACATCAACGAAAATCAGCGAAAAAAGAAAAAGAAATTGAATTAATTCTGAAAACAAATAACAGGCTGAAAATTTATTCCAAGAAAAAAAAAACTTATAAGAGCTAAACAAAACAAATAAAAAAGAAAAGTAAACTTACTGAGGGGAAGGACAGGGGCATATAAAAGAGGAACCAGAAACTTGAAAGGGGGACCTTTGTTTTGTTTTGTCACAGCAACCCCTCTTCAATCAAAAAGGATCATATTTAAGCGAAATTTACAGGGAAAAAATGCAACTTCTTATGGAAATCATAGGAATGAATATTAATGGTAGGCAAGCAAAACGATCAAAGGAATAAAACTCGAATAACTCACCCTTTGGAAAGATCGGCTGAGGATGCCATGGTAGTCTTTTAATCTCTCCAGTTTCCGACCTTCAATACAAGGTGAATGGGGATATAGCTTTTGATCGTGGTTCCAGAGTTGCACTGTGGAATATGCAATCTTTTGTGCACGTGGTTAAGATTTAAGATATTCTAGAAATTTAGAGCTCAGTCCACCTCATCGACTATTATTTTTTTTTTGAGTTTTATTTATAGAAAATTCTCGATTACTACTCGGTATTTTGTGCCTAGTGCCATTTTAGTCCTTAAACTTTAAAATACCATAATTCAATATATGAACTTTCAAAACTTGTACCTTGCTTAATCAGCTTTTAATCGGCCTTTAAATGTCTTTTAAAATGACATAAATGTCCTTCAAGTGTCATCTAACTTTCTTTATCAAGCATCCAAACATTGACAAAAAAATTAACAATCAAAAATCCTTGCTTCTTCTGTTCAATAAAGTTGAGGTCCAATGCCCACTAGAAGGGCATTGTATTTTTTATAACATTTGGGTAATTGATAAAGAAAATTATATGACATTAGAAGGGCATTTGTATTTTTTTCAAATGTCATTTAACGATTAATTAACAGCTGGTTAACGGTAAGTATTGAATTGACACGTTTTGAAAGTTCGAATAGTAAATTATCACATTTTAAAGTTCGAGAACCAAAGTGACACTAGGCCTAAAGTACATGGTACTAATCGGGAATTTTCCCTTTTATTTATCAATACATCCATCTATGATTCTTTACCCCCTTGAATTTGATTCATTCCTCGAACGATGTTTACCAAGAAAGTTCCAATTGTACAAATTACAAACTATAGTAAATTTAACGGGGGTGGATTGAACGATAAAAAACCCAAAATCCTTGGCATGGGTCCCAGATTCAGATCTTCTCCAAATATACTACGTCCCAACAAGCCATTGTAGCCATACATCGAGATCGGATTCGGTCCTCACAAGGTTGTCTTCACATTGTGCTCACATTCTTTTGCAGTTGTGCATCGGGAACATCTCTGTATTTGTATGTTTTTATTTATGTGAGATATTGTCCAATTAAGGGTGAACATTTGGTTTCGGGAATATTTCTCTATTTGTATGTTTTTATTTATGGGAGATATTTTCAATTAGGGGTGAGCATTCGGTTTTTTCAGTTCAAAACTTAATCAAAAAAATCGAAATTTTAAAAACCGATTTAATTATATGGTAGACCGAACAGAAATATGTGAAAATCGAATAAACCAAACCAAAATTTTTTTGGTTATTTCAGATATTTCGGTTAAAACTGAAATTATTTAACCTGAAAGATACAACGCAGCGCAGGAAGATGCAGGTGGCCAACGACACTCGGCAATGAATCAACGCCATTCGTGTTCGGAGCCTATAGAGAACGAAGAGGAGGACCAAAGCCTAGAGCCTGAAGGAACTGAGGAAGATGCAGCGTAGCAACGGCAGCCGCGGTACTCGACAACGAGTCAACGCCGTTCGTGACTTCGTGTTCGGTGTTCCTACTGGTGTTGGGTGAACTGGTGACATCTGGCAACCACGGCAGTCGAAGAGACGAACTGAACTGACGTCCGGCAGCCGCGGTAGTCAAAAAGACAAACTGAGGAAGATGCAACCCAGCAGCCGCGACACTTGGCAACGAGTCAACACCATTCAGGACTTTGTGTTCAGTGTTCCTGCTAGTGCTGGGTGAGCCGGTGACATCCGGCAACAGCGACAATCGAAGAGACGAGACTCTGGACTCTGTTTTGGAACTGGAATACAATTAGACGAGAGTCCCCATGGCAAGTCGAAAGAGATAGGAATAGAGAGAAAGGAGAAAGGGTCTTAGTCTTTGACAGAGTGATTGTCTGACTCTTAGATGCCCGCGTGACAAGAAAGTTTATTGTCTAAGGCGTTTTGCAGTTTGCATATTTTAGAATTTGGCAAATAGCCAAATATGCTTCTTAATTTATTAAATATTAATATAAAATTAAATTATAAATTATAATATTTAACCAGTTTTTTTTGGTTAACCGATTTATCGTCTGATAACCGAAACCGAAATCCGAAATACAAAAAACCAAAAAAATATGAACCCGACCAAAAAATCGATTAAGCTGAACCAATTAAACCAAAACCGTTTTTCATTTTTAATCGAATTATGCTCACCCCTATTCCCAATGACAACTACATGTGGCTATGAGCACCATGCAAGGATGTAAGGATGGTTTTGTGAGGATTGAATATGATTTCCCATACATTCTTATGGTGACGGGATCTGCTCCTCACAAATGAACGTCTTACAGGCACATCCACCATGCATTGAAAACATCTCCCGTGAATAATAATTAACAAATACAAGAGATGATCCCAAATGCATGATAAGATGTGCATGTGAAGCGCGGAGCAGATCCTATCTCATCCTTACGGGCTGCATGTAATAACTTGTTGGCACGTTATTGCGACCATATTGTTATTAGGCAGATCCTGACAAGTTCAGATTTCATTTTGACAAAACCGTTCTTACACCATCCTCAGCTTTTTGCAGTCGTACAATGAGAATATATCTGTATTTATATGTTTTTATTTATGGGTTAATATTCCAAATGTATGGCCACGTGGGACTGTGAAGACGTGCGAGGATGAAATCTGATTTAGACCTAAACCCCACTTTGTGTGTAGGGCGAAGATTAAAGATGAGAGCATGGGATTAAAGCTTGTCATGGGTTGGACATAAATTGTATTCTACCCATTTAATTTTTTTTTTTTTATTGAAAAGAACAAAGCATCTATTAAGTTGGTGTTTGGGGCCCACTTTGATTTCTCAGAAATTGATGCCACATCAACGATACAAAAGTACCTGATTATTTGGCGTTTGGTGAACCGATTTTTCAAAGGTTGCGTTTGATTTGATGGAATATTTTTATGGGATGGGATAGCATGGGATGGGATGAGAAGAGAAAGATAAAATGGGTGGAAATTTTTCATGTTTCATTGTTTGGTTGGAAAAGGGAAAATCAACCCTAATAACAATTATTAATTAGTTTTGTAATTAATTATTTATCTAATTAATAGTAAGATTTAGTTAATTAATTATTAATTAAGAATTAATATTCCCTTTTTAATTAATTTTATTTTATTGACATTTATTATGAATTAATTAACAATTTATATATTTTATTATTCATTATTTTAATTATTTAAGGTTTTTAATATTTATTAACTATTTTGTTGTTGATTGTTAATTAATTATTCATTAAGTAATAATACTTTTTATTATTAATTATTAATTATAAAATTAATAATTAGTTAATTAATTATTAACATTAATCATTATTTTAACTTTTTCAGTTTATATTTTATTTTATGAATACTTATTACTTAATTAATAATTTTTATTTTTATTGTGAAATACTAATTAATTGTTAAATTATTTTTAATTGATTAATGTTTTATTTATTAATTATATTAATTTATTTATTATTTAGTTTAATTAAACTATTTTATCAATATGTAATGAAATAATTAATCATTTGTGAATAGGCCATGGTTTGAATATTAACTCTTAGAAATACTACATGGAAGATGTTTTTTTATTAAATAAGCTCCCCAATCAATTCTCACTTGTGTCCCACCAAAACGGTAGGATTTCACATCCCATTCCCAAGAATGGGATCTATAATCTCACATTTTTTCATCCCATCTCATGACATCCTTCAAACCAAACATGAGAAGGAAGAATATTTTAGGATATTTCATATTTTCCCTTCCCATCCCACAAAGCAAAGAGAGTCAAATTGATAAGAAAACGATTATTAAAATTGGGCTATAGGAAAATCAACAAATTTGATGATTCGTCTTTTTAAGCCGATTCTAATTATTTTTTAATGATATAGCATTTGATATGGATAGGGGATATAATTCCTACAAACATAAAAATCACTATTGATTATCACTACTAAACAAACTCATAAGTAATTTATAAGAAATTGGCTGACATGGTAGAAAGGGTGCCAAATAAACAATTTCTCTAATTTTTGAGAAATCAATGATCTCACTAAGTTTTGAAAAGTCCCATAGAAGCAATTAGCATCGATCCCAAACACCTCCTAAATCAAAGGAAGGTCATGTACAAGGAAATGGAATGGTGTAAAATAAGGTCCCTATATAGTTGGAAATGAGCCACAACCACATTATAGAACACTCCCTCACATTTTTTACCAACTAATGCAATAAATTTTGTAGTCCACAACCCACATAAGTGGTATATCGAAAAGCCAAGTCCTAGGCTTCTTTTTTCTCCTTTAGGGATTTTCTCTTTTAAAGCTTCAATACAACTAGGAGGGATAATGGTACACTGCAAACACACATTAGACAATGCATAAAAGCTTAGACAAAACTATGGGCCAAAGTGTTATACTGTTATACTCATTACAAATATACTGCAATGAGATCAACCAACCGAAGAGAATATATATATCATATAAAGTAATACGTCTTGCAAGTCATATAAAAGTTAAATCTAAATACCATATATCATATATGGTTAATACTTGCAAATATAACACATGCTCTTATATTAATAGTAGTTAATGAATGTATTCTATATAATCTGATTTGGACAATAAATCGGCCAGGGTCCGGTTCTTGGGTCAAACGGTCGGCCCATTCTGACCAAAAATTAAAATAAAAATAAAAAAAAACAGTCAAAACCAGCGAACGGTTCAACTGCCCAAGTCAATTTTTTGGCAAATATCCGATTTTGGAGAAAAAAGGAACCCAATCACCTAACCAGTTTCCAGTTTTTCTGATCCGACCATTCAGTCCGGTCTGATTTTGAAAACCACGATATAACCAAATACTTCTAAATAAAGCTTTTGTACTGATTTTGGATAAAGCGGATTAGCTTCTGAATCTTTTGATCCTTACGGGATATCTAAAGCCACCTTATGGGAAGAGAAAATTTCAGAAACAAAGAAGCACAGACCTGTCATCCATAGTGAATGGAAGCCATTTCCACCTTTTTAAAAGGAGAAAAAGTTTATTTATTTATTTATTTATTTTGGGAGGGGTTCAATGGGTCCAAGTTTCTTCCTTTTGAGACATTAAAAGTTTCTTTCTTCTGGTCATTGGTATATTAAACTTTTTAGTGTTATTGATGTATTTTTGTGTTATATTGAAGTTTTTATAGTGTTTTTATGCGTATCTTAATTTTTATGTTATATCTCGATATATATCTTAAAATTGCCTTCCCGATATGCTAAGTGTATCCGATACTTTGAATCTTGACTCAAAGATATAAAGGAGAGTGTTCAGTCATGCCCTTTTTAAGCCAACCGCCATTCAGTGCATTCCACAAGTTACATAATTATAATGTAAAAAAAAGGTATTTTATTTTATTTTCCTAGCAATACAGTTGTTCATTTTTATTGGATGCTTAACAAAGTCAATAAATGAATTTACGTAGAAGAGAAAATCTTTTCCCAAGAGACTAATATTTTCATGAATTTTTTAAGCCTATATTTTTTCATTACATTCTGAGCTTATTTTAAATTTAAAATCCATTTAATTTATAGTTAGAATGGGAATCAAAATCATAATCAGCTGGAATGTATTCTTATTCCCAGAGGAGAAAGGAATCCCTTAAATGGATAAATGAAAATAAAATTCTAATTCGTCCAATCAAACGATTGAAATCAGAATCAGGATGGACCATTCGGATTCCCATTCCAATTCCGATTCTAAACCCTATTTCAATGAACCAAACACACCTTAGTTTATCAATAATATCGAATATTCCTAAATCCATGGTTAAGATTTGATCCAAATTCGAGTACAAAGGAATCGAATTTGAATCCAGTATTCAAATTTGGCCGTCAGCGTTCAACAGTGTAAGTTCGCCGGCTCTTGCATTGCAATTTGCAAATTGTCTTTCCACACAGTTTCCACAACAGCACGATGCGACAGAGATGTAAATTCCGAGCGATAACGACACGTGTCGGTAAAAAAAATACTTCGAAACTTCATGCAAAGCAACCGAGTTCCCGTTTGGTAATTTCCTGCAAAGAAAACATGCTCATGGACCCAGCATTTAAACGACACGGGATCTATTCCTCACAAATGGGCGCCTCACATACACATCAGTTCATCAAGATATGTTTACGGTACATATTTTCTTTTGTTGGGATTTGGGAAAGATATTTCAAAAAATATCACTTGCTATGGGCCTTTGCCGGTTTCCTCACATGTTGTCGGTCCAAGTCTCCGCCTAATCTTAAAAGCAAGAGAATACCGGAGTAGACGGTAAAAAGCGCTTAAAAAAGCAAAAAGCGCGGGCCGCGGAGAACTTGTTCTGCTCAGACCGCCACATGTACAATCCTATCCATTCCTCTCGTCTTTCCTTTAAAATACTAATAAACTCTTGTACATTCATCCTCCCTCTCTGGTCTCTATTTCTGTATCTCTGTATCTCTCCCTCATGGCGACCACTCTCCTGTCTTTCCGACCTACTGGAATCCAAGCTTGCGCTTCTTCGCCTCAGAGGAAGCCCGACCCAAATCGCCGGAAAGCCTCCTCATCCAACTGGTGGGCCCCACTCTTCGACTGGGCTGCCGATCCCGACTACATTGACGACAACAACAACAGCAGCGGCAACTCCGATGTGTCGGCAGATACAAATAATAGATCTGAAACGGGCTCCGAAATCGCACGCCCAAGATCTCGATTCGCTCCGGGATGCTTGACGGAAGAGAAGGCCAGACAGCTCAGGATAAAGACGATGGAGAACGCAAACTTCCACGACATCATGTACCACTCGGCGATCGCGTCCCGGCTCGCTTCGGATATTCCGAGTCGATCCGATCGGTGATGATCCTCGGCCTCTGGAACGTTTTCACTGCCGGTGAATCTTTCCGGCGTGCTTGTCTGGGAACAAATCTGTCGACACAACCGAAATTCCATTAGCTTCCTTTTTTTTCCTGTAATTATTTCTGGACTGTTTTAATTTTTAAATGGATATGATGAATGAACAAAGTTTAAAATCATCCCTGCTGATAATTAATCTAGTTTGCGATTAAAGGCGATGAGTGGCCTTACTCTGTTTACGCTTTAGTGAAGACTATGCGTAATGGAACAGGATACCCAAACCCAAAACAACAACAATCGTCGGATCACAAATCAATCAGACGATGAATTCATTTGTAAAAGTTTATGATCGATGGTTTTAATCTTCTATGGTTTAGTTGGATGAAAGTCCAACTCCACGTCTGACGAGTGACGTCGCAGCATCTTATAATGGAATTGAAGGATATAAAGTCAGTAATCTACTGCGATGGCGAGACCGCACCCGTTGACCAAGGATTCGGATAGGCTCCCCGACTTCCAGCCACATCTGAGTTCAATCGGATTATGAGAAGCTCAAATTCCTCGGAGTAATAATTAATCACGTGCATTGTAGTTAAGAAATTTTTATTCATTTTAGATATTATAGTAAATATGCATGTGCATTGTAAATGAAAATTTTAAATTATAATTATTATTAAATTTTTATTTTATATTTATCATAAATGATAAATATATAATATTAGAAATATTTTCAAATCTTTTTAACAAAATTCTATACTTTTTCATTTTTTTGTATTTTATAGGATAAATTATAAAAACCCCTTCTCTAAATCAGATAAGGAAAGACATTAAATTATCAAAATACCCCACTAAACTTTTTCTATTTTTTTTTTTATTACCATTCTCCCTTAAAACATTACTAACCAAAAAAAACCTTTAATCGTAATAGTTCATTCACCGCATCAAGCAAATGGGGGTGTTAGTTCGTTCACTCCCACCGTGACGAGAATCGTAACAATCGGAACAAACATCCCCACTGCCACCTCCAGCCGGCCTCAATTACTAGCAAATGGGGGTGTTTGTTAGTTCACTCCCTTCTCGGCATCATACAAGAAACCAGCGAGCAGGGCAGAGAAGATCGCCCAACTCTGACTTCTACCATCAACAGTGCGGGTAGGCCCCGGAATCTGCAAATACACTGGCTTCTACTGTGATCACTCATCGGAGGACAACAACGTCAAGGCACTTGTTGGTATTGACTTCAATGGCTACCACTACAAAAACAACAGTGGCTCCACAAACACCACCGAACAACACATATGAAGAATCAAACCCTTCTAAGCTCTACCCTTGGCCAATTACGAAATACGAGGAAGTTGTTCATAGAAACACTTAAAGATCTTCACAGGTCGTTGGGAACTAAGTTTATGGTACCTACCATGGGTGGGAAGTTTCTAGATCTACATCGACTCACCACAGGGTGGTCTTGAGGAGGTTATAAGAGATCGCAAATGGAGAGATGCCATTACCGTTTTCAATTTCCCAAGCACCATTACTAACGCATCCTTTGCATTGTACAAGTACCACATATCATTGCTTCACCATTATGAACACTGTATTCCTTTCCTAAAAACAACCCTTCAATCCAGGCATCTAATTTTGTAGCCAAAAGCCCTGTCGGTTGCATAGGAGCCACACCATCTACTTGTGAGAAACAAACCACCATGGATGGGTTAGCAAAAACTTCAAAATTGAGTGTTAGTTGTCGGGTTACTGGGACAATTGATGGAAAATTTGACAATGGATATTTAGTGACTCTGAGTTTTGGTCCCAATAAGTTGAAAGGTGTCCTGTATCATGTTCCTCCTGAGTTACAGATGCCTCTGATTTCTTATACTTCAATTGTGATGTCCTGGGGTACTAATACTTCAACTATACCTCCTTGTTGTCACTAGAAAAGATCCAGGTTGGCATTGAAGGATCCCTCTCATCCTAAACCAAACAGGAGTGGTTACAATTTCTTTTTTTGCTGAGCATTATGCCTCACTGAAGCCTCTGCACCATGGGTAAGAAAAAGTCATCAGCAAGAAGATTGGACACCTATGGAGCAAACTGATTGAGGCTGAAAAACAGGTTTATCAGGAGAAAGGATTGCATGATAAAGAGAGATATCAAAGCGAAAATTTGGAGTAAAGAAAATTATCAAATGCTTGAAAACCTCAATATATATTGTTGAGAAAATGAATAACAAAAAACAGAGCAAGTAACAGTAGACACCAAATTTTAACGTAGAAAACCCCTCAATGTGAGGGTAAAAACCACAGAACTGAAGTCAAAATCATCCATTATCAGCAATGAGAATGAGATACAATGTTTTTCTATCTAGTGAGAATTTGATGATGACTATTAAGAAAACTCGTGTTCCAACGACAAAAACATCAATGGAATAAATAGCAAACAAGAAATCTCTTACCAAAGGTGGAAATACAGCAATGGAAGCAAGAAGAGATGCTGAAAAACGGACTTGTCTTCCTCGTTTCAGTCTTTGTAAATCTCCTTCTTCTTTCCAAAAATTTCTTAAAACCCCTTCTCTATTCTCTGTTATTTCATAGAGAGTTGCTGAAGTTAAAAGAGTGGAATATATGAACTCTCCCAATTCGTTGGACACCAAGAATACAAAAGGCTCTTCTTGTTGATTTTCCCTTTTTATCCTTTCACTTTCTTTCATTTTTGTCTTTCTTATTTATGGATTCCACCTCATGAGGAGGACAACCCAACATATCTGAGGTCCCTTTCTTGAGGTTATTGATTTTTCTTCATAGCTCTGTTTTCTGGCATCTTCCGGTGCAGATTGTGCTTATGGCATGAACCCGTTGATCAAGGCATTGGAATGAGAGGGAATCTGGAAGCAACCTCCTACACTTCAATTCTGGAAATGATTACACTACTGTCACACAACATTTAGGGAAAAACATTTGTAGGTCTTTCTCTAAATGCACATACACACAAATATTGAATTTGTTGGGGATTTTCTGTTTAGGCTCCTGGTTAACTTGTCATCTGACTCACCTCCTCCAGCTAACTCGATTTTCATTTAGTAGCTTGGCCTATTTAAAAGGCACAATTGGTGGAGGTGCTTTTTTTAACAACCAATTATCCGGTTGCCTCCCATACGAGATCAGTTTGTTGAGATCAACGACAGCGTTCGATGCAGAGAACAATCCTTAACACCAGAAGATGCAATTTCTCAATAGCGGATATTGAATACAAAAAAAAAAAAACACCTTGCAAAGACGTTGTGGAGCAAAAGTAAATGGGATGAAGATAACAGTAGAAAAGGAGAAAAAAGTTAAGTTAGAAAAGGATAGTTTGGGCATTTTAAAAACTTTAATCAGTTAGGTGAGAATATTTTTTTCAAAGTTAACTAACAGATTGTTAATGGAGGGGGGTTTTTGTCTAATGGCCAAAGTTCAAGGGGTATTTGTCACAAAAAATAGTGCAGGGGGGTCTTTGTCACTGATCTTATAGTAAAAGGGGGTTTTTGTAATTTACCCTTTTTTAAATATTTATTATTCAATTATAACATCATAGATTTCTTTGAAAAGTTGGATCATTGACCCACCATCCAGATAAAAAAATTACTTTGTTTTCATATCAGTTTTAAATTATATATTTCATCTATATTATATAAATAATTTTGACTTATCATACTTAATTTTTTGTTTCACATAATTAATTAATATATAATTTTTTAATTACTTGTACTTTTTTATTTTTTTAAAGATTTAAATTTTATATCATCGACTAATCCATTTGACCCAAACCACTAACCCACCACCCAAAAAGGAAAATAGTTTGATTTCTAAATAGACATTAAATTTTGTAATACATTTCCATCATTAATAAAATTATTTCTTATATAATACTTACTTGTGTTCAATATAATGAATGCATAACATTAGAAATGTACCCAATATTTTTCTTTTTATTTTTTATAAATATATAACATTAGACATATGCCCAAATTTTTTTCTATTTTTCTATTTTTGTTATTCTTTGTATTATTATTTTTAAAATTTTTATTATTTGACTACAATATCATTTCATTTATAGGTTGATTTTAAATTTGGAATTTCCATTTTCATCATTAATAAAAATATTTCTTACATTCCATATTTATTTTTGTTTAGTATAATTAATATACAATATTTTAGATATACCCAATTCTTTTTTTGGATGATATATTTTATTTATGTTAATTTTTTATTATTTAATTATGGTATTATTTGTTAACTTATTTGACCCAAAATGATTGAATTGCTTACCTAGCACTAGAAGGCAAGAAAATCGTTTTACTTTCAAATTAATTGTCAATATATTTGTTTTTATCTATTAAACATTTTTCATCTTCTTGAATATCATAGATATTATATTGTGGTTGGCATAGTGAAGTAGGAATCACTCACATGAAAGGAATTTTGCGGCTCTAGGATCTGGGATTCGATTGAGACATTTTAACCAACACGCTATCGAAACTCAATCGAAGCTTTAAATAGCTCAGTCGAAGCTCAATCGAAGCTTTAGATAGGCTAGAGAAAAGAGGCATTTTAACCAACACGTTATTAAAATGAAAAGACTCGTTTGAGACTAAAGATCGGTGAATGAATATTAGTGAAGGGAATTAGAATTGTATAGCTGATCGAGCATAGTATATATATAGACTTTGTATTAGTGATGAGTAGAATGTTTAATAACTTTGGTTCATGTTATTATCGTTTGATTACATTAATTTCCTTTGAATTAGTTTCAGTTTTAGAGATTGACAGTATTAACACATGCTAAATAATTTCTTTATAGGACTAATTCTTAATTGAACATAAAAGCCACCACTTATAATCTCATGCTTATCAATCTGCTTAATTATTTGAGTTTAATTAGCTACATATGCAATTAGATTGTTTGGGTAGACAGTCAAGAAACAAATCTAGAAAGAAAATACACAATAGTCATGCGGGGTCCATCAGTTTTTGTTA